GATTACTTATATAATAGTTACAAGACAAATTCGATAATAGCATTACCATGTGAGTACATAATCGTTTGGCTTAAAAAGAAAAAGGATATTTTGGTATAAGTTACATCAATTTTCACTAATATTAATAATCAAACATAAAATAATTGACAAGAGTGTTGGTGGGTCGCTCTAGCGGTGAGCACCCTTCACCTCCAACCAAGAGGTCATAAGTTCAAGTCTTTCACTGATGGGATTATAGTGGATGTATTTCTTGAAACATAAAAAAATTATAGTTTCACACTTTATATCAGAATTAGTCATAAACCATGAAAAACGATGAGACGTTTCTTTGGTTTGTTATAATTGGTAGGAGAAATCTAACTACCATACCGACTAATCACTCCCTATTTGAAGACTTTGATGCAAAGGTCAAAACCATTAACTAGTTGCCACTTGTCCACGACCTTCTATCCAAACTTTTCACATTTTCTTTAGTAAGATAAATCCAAAAGCTTCCACAGTTGAAAGAAGAAAAACTCAAGTCATTTTTATTTATTATTCACTATATACGTGTTTTTTCAGATAATTTTTTAAATATTTCACCCTAAACACACATCAAAGAGGATGCATTGACATAAAATAAGGCCGGCATCAAATACTATTGACTTCCATTTTCTTCTCATCTATAAATAAGGGTCTCATTTCTCCTATAGGGACCTACAAATACTGCACTTTTGCTTGTATTATAGCTCTCTTTGTTTCATTCAAACAATTATTGCACCCTTTTAAGTAATCTTTGTTACAAGTAGAAAAAAACACCAATGGGAAGATCACCAAGTTCTGATAAAAATGGACTTAAGAAAGGTCCTTGGACCTCAGAGGAAGATAATAAGCTCATAGAATATATTCAAGTTCATGGTCCTGGAAACTGGCGTAGCCTCCCTAAAAATGCCGGTACGTGATAATATTTCCTTTTTAGTCTGTTCCAAAAAAGTTATGACATCTTATGGCTATAAGTTTTAAAAGTTTCTGCTCTTTTTATATCTCCTTGCCTAATATTCAAACTTTGTCACATAAATTGAGATGAGAGTAATAATTATTTGTTGCTTGATTTGGAGATAGACGTTTTTATATTTTTTTTTCATCGTCTTGATAATTAAAAAGTGTTTTACTCTAATCATTCATTGGGAAATCATTTGCAGGACTTCAAAGGTGTGGAAAGAGTTGTCGTCTTCGTTGGACGAATTATTTGAGACCAGATATTAAGAGAGGAAGATTCTCATTTGAAGAAGAAGAAACTATTATCCAACTTCACAGTGTTCTTGGCAACAAGTAAGATACTCTTTCTCGTTGGATTTCAGTTTCTATGACACTCTTTTTTTAGTATGTACATTTTTTAATTTAGAACTTTTAATTTTACTCTTAATGACGCGCTTTATAACAAAAGTCGTTACTTCTTTCTAAAATTTCGTTTTTTAGTTTCCCACCGGGTGGCCGATACTTGCTTTAAAGACCCCAATTAATCCGGGGTTGTACCTTGTAAGGCCCTTTAGGATAAAGGCTAGCTTCCTGTAGCAGAATCTTTTTTCATTTTCAGAGTTCGTGCCCGAGACCTTTGCAAAGATAGAAGGATCATATATCCATTTCACCACAACTCTTGATGATTTTTTTAAACTCCGTACTTAATGACACATCTGTCATATAAAATGAAATGAAGGGACTAGTTAAGATCTTATCCTAAGATAGACAATTAAGTTCATGAACTTAAAACTTATCATTGTTATATTTTTTTATTTTTTTCAGATGGTCAGCAATAGCTGCTCGCTTGCCAGGAAGAACTGACAATGAAATCAAGAATTATTGGAACACTCATATAAGGAAAAGGCTTCTAAGAATGGGACTTGATCCAGTGACTCACAGCCCTCGTCTTGATTTATTAGACTTATCATCCCTTTTCAGCTCTACACAACTTAACCTTTCAAGTTTACTTGGACTACAAGCATTTGTAAACCCTCAAGTCTTGTCACTAATTGCTACAAACCTTTTTACATCTCATACAGAAAATCCAGAAATGTTATTACAAAGACAACTTCAAGAAAACCAATTTTTGAACACACAAATACAAAACCAAGAAGGGTCTCAAGTGTTGTTCCAAAAATTTCAAGAAAATCAAATTTTAAATGGTTCAGTGGAATACCATACCCCAACTTTCCAACCTAATAATCAGTTCCAAAATCAGACTCCAGAAATACCAACATGTACTCCATCAAACTTAGGATCATATAATTTGGTGAATGGCCAAAATGTACAAGAAAATGTGATGCTACCTTTGCAAAACTGTGGCCAAATTTTACAAGAAAACTCCAGCGGTCAAAATTTTAGCTTTGATTCAGTGTTGTCGACACCATTGTCAAGCAGTACAGAAGATGAGAGAGATAGCTACTGCAGTAATTTCATGAAATTTGAAATTCCAGAGAGTTTATTTTTTGAGGATTTAGTGTAAAAATTGACACTCTTTAGTACTTAGTTATCTCTTTTTTTTTTGGTTGTTGTTTCTCTTCTAGGCTAATTTGGATGGAACAATTGTTTTTTACTTGGTCCATTCAAATCTACAGTTTGTTTTTTTAGGTGGATTTTGAATTTTATCTATACATAAAAGCTTTTATGTAGTTTGGTGGATGCGTAGTGGTTGAGCTTTTCCCCTTCTCTCGTCTTGTTCGATTATTTGTATTTTATTTTTATTTTCCTTTTTCTCCTTTTTACTGTCTTTTTTCCATATCTTGATTCTTCCTTTCTTTTTTTAAAATTAAAGCGAGTGTATTTAACATCCATCATATAAATTCTTGTGGGAACTACTATTTTTTGATTTGGTATAAATATTGAGTATAAATTAATATTGTTTTCAATCTTTTGAATTATTTCAGATTCAAATTCGCGATAAGTGCTACTTGTATCACATTCTTATTTTTTTTTTTATAAAGCAAAAAAAATGTAGTACTAGTAAGTAAAAAAACAAGCTCAATTAGACAAAAGATGTTTTATGATGTGCATATGATTGGAATTTAAGCCTTTGATTTGGTCCAAGTTCCGCAGTTCCTTTACTTTTTGTCTTATCTCCCTACGTAATCAAGTACACATTTTCTTTATTTCTCATATTTTTGTGCCTTAGCTGTACCTTTGCTTTTAATTTAATTCGCAAAAAGTATCACTTCATAGAGGCAAATCGATTCTGCCAATTGAGATCCAAAAAAAAAAAAGATTATATATGTATGGATTATTACATGATTTACGAGTCTAAACGGTCACTCAACTATTCGAAATTATCGTGTAAAGTCATCTTTTCTTTATTAGTAGTAGGAAAGTCACTTAACTATGGCTATAACACTCAGAAGGTCACTCTACTAAATTTTTCAAAATTTTGATTGTAAAACACCTATTTTACCCTCTAAATTAAGGGTAAATTATCAACTTTTATCTTCTTCTTTTTAACATTAATATTATGATTTTTTTCTCTTTTTAATCAACATTATGGACTTACCTATAGAACAAATAAATTTTATTAAAACTAAAAAAAAAATTTATTTTTCTTGCATATAAATAGTTAAAATAATAATATAATTGAGCATAATTATCAAAAATATAGATTGTATATTATAAAATTATATTTATTTTAAATAATTGCTTTTTGTAGTACGTATATGGAATATATATTTTAAAACTTTTATTTTCTTTCATTCTCAATGTGTAAATAAATTTTTGAGTTTTTGTTGTTAATATCGAACTTATTATTACGAACAAACTTTTCTAATTAGCTTTCTACCATGTTCAATATTTTATTATTCCTATACTAAATATGCTTAAATAAAAACTTTTAATTAAGGTTGGAGGGATCTAACCTTAGCCTACCACTAACCGTAGCATTTGATCTTAGATCTTATAGTAGTGGAGGAAAATAATCTTTTATAGCCCATGATTAATTTCATGTTATTCCTCCTTTTCTTCTATTCTTCTTGCTCCTCTCCGGTCCCTCTATTTCTTCTTCACGGTTGGAGAGCTTCAATTGAAGCTTTAGTTGCTTCTTTGTGTTTGATAGGTGTTTCTGGCCATAACATCTTTAAACTATATTCTAAACTTAAATTTCATTCTTTTATATGTCCAAGTGAACAGAAATATCTTAAACTATAGTACAAAATGAGCAGAATAAATCTTACATTCCTACTGCTACTTTAATGCTAAAAACTAATAACGGCTCTCTAACTTCTTCTCTGACCAGGTATAATAACTTCAATCAACGACCTTGTTGGAGTTAAGAAGTTGGACCACAATACTGTTGCTGATGCTGAGGCACACCCCACATAAAGAAGTCCATTTGTTTTGTATTTATTTTGTATCAGCCCACTTCTTTAGTGAGGCCCATTTTTTCATTCTTTTGTAGTTAGCCCAATTTTGTGTATATCTGAATTTTGGACTGCTTCTAGAAGATACAGAAGCTATTTTTCTTTTTTCAGTTTATGAAATGAAAAGCTCTCCTTCTCTCTTCTCTCGTTATTCCTTCAAAAACTTTACATAGATTTCGATCAATCCATAGAAATTAATGTTTTCACATGGTATCAGAGCAGAGATTCTGTTCCTACTCCTCACCAGCTTCCTCGCGATGTTACCTTCACCTATTTTCGTCAGAGTTTTCTTGTTCGCTGAGAAATTTAGGGTTTTCTGATTTCATTGAGTTTCCTTCCGCAATCGCTGATTTTAGAGGTTTGTCGTATCTGAGATTCATCGGATTGGCATGTGAGTAAGTCAATTCCTGCGGATTTTGTTTCATTTTCAGTTGTTATGGTTTGATTCCTTTCAAGTTCAAGGCCGTTGACGTCTTTCGATCGCAAAGACGAAGGGTATTATCTTATCTAGCTAATTTTTTTGCTGTTCGAATCTATTAGATGCTGATTGAGGTGAAGATATATTACTGCATGTGCTGTGGTTGAATTCTATAAACTTTCTGACTGAGTAATTGAACTCCAAAAATGGTTAATGTTGCTGATGATTCTGCACCTGCTAGTTCCTCTACTAATTTCATACCTGACCCTTCGAGTCCCTTGTTTCTCCTGTCTTCTGATATTCCGGGAGTTTCCTTGGTTAGTAATCCTTTTTCTGGTAATCCTTTTTCTGGGACTGGTTTTGGGGGATGGAGACGAAATATGATTGTCTCCCTATCTGCTAGGAATAAGATAGGGTTTATTGATGGAACAGTTCTCAAACCTCCAGAAAATTACCCTCAATTTAGGCAGTGGGATAGGTGTAACAATATGGTCATATCTTGGCTGACCAATTCCCTTACACCAGACATAGCTGAAAGTGTCCAGTACTCTGACACTGCCCAAAGTATTTGGACTCAGCTTAACAAAAGGTATGGTACTGTCAATGGTACCAAGGTTTTTGAGATAAAGCAAGAGTTAGCATCCACTAGTCAAGGGTCTTTGGATATAGCATCTTACTTCAACAAGCTAAATAGATTGTGGGATGAATTAGGTTTCATGCGTGCATCTCGTGGTAGTTCTTGCACATGTGCTGCCAAATCTGAGCTCCAAAGAGAAGATGACGGGAACAAGTTGCATCAATTTCTCATGTGGCTTAATGACACCTATGTTGGAGTTAAGAGTAATCTGCTCATGATGCAGCCTCCTCCATCCCCAGACACTGCCTACAACATCTTGCTTCAGGATAAAAGGCAAAGACAAGTCTCCTCGCCATCCCAATTCCGCACTGATTCAGCCTCTTTCAATGCCCATCTCACTAACAAGTTCTCAGGGACACCTGCCTCTCCTAAACAGTTCAATCAAAAAGTCAACTTTGATCTCAGCAAGTCAAATATAGTGTGTAGGTATTGCAAGAAACCTGGACATTTGATTGACAAATGTTATAAGCTCCATGGGTTCCCACCAAGTTTCAAATTTACAAAGGGTAAGAGGACTGCTGCAAATGTTGAGGTGCAGGGTTATCCAAATTCTGTTGGTTCTTAGAATACTGTTCAGGGTTCTCAAGGACCTTCTGAGTCAGAGTCTTTGATTCCTGGGTTAACCAAGGATCAATATTCACAACTTATGATGCTGCTTCAACAGACACAAATTTCAGAGTCACAGCCCCAGTCTAGCCTCATGGCATCTGCCAACTTTGCTGGTACTTTCTCTCCAACCAGTTGTCTAAAAAATATATCTTATGGTGCTTGCATGATAACTAAAGTACATAAATGCATTTGGATTATAGATTCTGGGGCCACTGACCATATGACCTCCAATAAAAACCTTCTATTTGACATTAAGCCATTAATCATACCATACTTAGTTACTTTGCCAAACGGTTATAAGGTCAAGGTAACATGTACCGGTTCCATTCAATTCCTTTGCCTCACATTGCATCATGTCCTTTATATTCCTAGTTTTCATTACAACCTTATCTCTGTATCCAAACTTGTCTACCAGTTAGATTCTATTGTCCTATTTACTAAGTTTTCCTGCTTGATACAGGCCCCTTCACTAAAGAGGCCACTGGAAATTGGTAAATTGGATGATGGTCTTTACAGGCTTGTTCACTCCTCTCCTTCTCTTCAATCCCATGCAACAGCATGTCAGTCTAGTTCTATAACTGCCCCTTTACTTGTTGAAAATGCTCCTTGTAAATACCATTCTCCATTAGCTACTGATTCTGTTTCTTGTTCTCATTGTACATACCATTCTGAATTGAATAAAGTGGAGATGTTATGGCATAATAGACCGGGGCATATACCTTTTGTTAGGATGAAAGAAATTTCTCTTATACCTTGCAAATTTTCCACTAAATAGCCTTTCATTTGTACTGTTTTTCCATTAGCTAGGCAACCTAGGTTACCTTTTCCTGATAGTTTTATTAAAACTACACATGCTTTTCAACTCATACATGTGGATACCTAGGGTCCTTATGGTACTCCTACTCATAATGGGTGTAAATATTTCCTAACAATAGTTGATGACTTCACTAGAGCTACTTGGACTCACCTTATGGGGTCCAAGAGCAATGCTTTTCCCCTTATCAAAGCTTTTATTGCCGTGATCAAAACACAATTCCAATCTATTGTACAAACCATTAGAAGTGACAATGCATTTGAGCTTGGGTCTAGTAATTGTGGCAGTAACTTCTTTGCTGAAAACGGAATAATCCACCAAACCTCTTGCTCTCACACACCATAACAAAATGGTGTGGTTGAGAGAAAGCATAGATATCTGGTAGAAACCTCAAGAGCCTTACTTTTTCATTCTGACCTACCTATTAGATTCTGGGGTGATTTGTGCTTACTGCTACCTATCTTATAAATAGATTTCCTTCTAAACTTCTTAACAACAAAACACCTTTTGAGCTACTTTTTGGACAACCTCCTTCTTATAACCATATTAAAACATTTGGCTGTCTCTGTTTTGCCTTAATCCCCAAATGCCATAGGGATAAATTTCAACCTAGAGCTGATCCTTGTGTCTTTCTGGGATATCCATTGGCTAAGAAGGGTTACAAGTTATACAACTTGAAAACTAAGCTTACCCTAATATCCAGGGATGTAGTCTTCCATGAAGATGTCTTTCCCTTTGCTTCTTCTGTGTCCATTCCCAATGCTCCTTCTCCTCCTCTTAACCCCTCTACTAGTTGGAGTTTCCCTACTGATGATTCCTTGTATGATACCTCTTCAACTTCTGTACCTCCTGCTTCCCCTTCATAATCTCCTTCTCTTTTTCATCAACAGTCTCCCTCTCCACCATCTCCTTCTCCTTCACAGCACCAATCTCCTTCTTTGCCAACATAACCTGCTCCCAGGAGGTCTAGCAGGACTCATGTCCCTCCTGCTCATCTACAACATTATGTTTGTAGCCTTCCTCCATCTCTTACTGGCCCCAGTTCTTCTTCTGCTTGTCTTCATAGTTTAGTTAACACTGCTGAGGTAGATCCTGCCTCATATCAGCAGGCTGCCTCTCTTCCTGCATGGCAGGAGGCCATGAGGAAGGAGTTTGAAGCCTTAGAAGCCAATCATACTTGGTCTATAGTTCAGCTACCTCCAGGCAAGAAACCCATTGGTTGCAAATGGGTTTATAAGATCAAGTATAGGGCTGATGGGACTGTGGAAAGATATAAGGTTCGATTGGTTGTTAGGGGTGACACCCAAGTAGATTTCACTTAAACCTTCTCCCCTGTTGTCAAATTTTCAACTGTCAAGTGCCTTGTTGTTGTGGCTGTCAAACAAAATTGGCCTCTTTTTCAACTTGATGTCAACAATGCCTTTTTGCATGGTGATTTAGATGAAGAGGTTTATATGAAGTTGCCCCCTAGGTTGTCAGCCACCCCTTTATCTGGTTGTGCTTCATCTTCTTCTCCTTTGGTTTGCCTTCTTCAGAAGTCCTTATATGGTTTGAACAGGCTTCTAGGCAGTGGTATGCCAAGCTGTCCCAAGCCTTATGTTCCAGGGGATACTCTCCTTCTCTAAATGATTACTCTCTCTTTTCTAAAAAATCTGCTTCTTCTACTGTCTTGTTGGCTGTATATGTTGATGATATTATTCTTACTGGTAATGATTTGGAAGAAATTACTGCATTAAAGAGTTTTCTGGATAATGCGTTTAAGATCAAAGACTTGGGGGTTCTCAATTACTTTCTTGGGATTGAAGTTGCTTACCACTCTGATGGCCTGCTCCTTCATTAGAGAAAATTTATTAAAGACCTTCTCAAGGAGTACCATTGTGAGGATGTTACTCATGTTACTTGTCCTCTAGACCTCTCTGTCAAGCTCAAGGTAGATATGGGTGATCCTCTTCCTTCTCCTGAAACCTATAGGAGTCTGGTGGGTAAGCTCAACTTTCTCACTCACACTAGACCAGACCTGGCTTTTGCTCTACAACATCTCAGTCAATATCTTTAGAAGCCTACTTCCTCTCACATGCATGCAGCCTTGCATATACTCAGGTATCTTCAAGGCTCTTCTGAAGTTGGGGTCTTCATCAGCAACACCCCTGATCTTTCTTTATCTGCTTATTATGATAGTGACTGGGCTGCCTGCCCAGATATTAGGAGATCTGTTACTGGGTTCTGCATTCTCTTAGGTGGTTCTCTTATTGGTTGGAAAGCTAAGAAGCAGCCTGTGGTGTCTCTGTCTTCTGCTGAGGCTGAGTATAGGGCCATCAGTAAGGTTGTTGGTGAGCTCACTTGGCTTGTTAGGCTGCTTTCTGATTTTGGTGTTCTTGTTGCTGTTGCTGTCCCTGTTTTTTGTGATAATCAGGCAGCCATCCACATTGCCAAGAATCCTGTGTTTCATGAGAGGACCAAACACATTGAGGTGGATTGCCATTTCATTAGGACAAAGCTTCATGAGGGTCTTATTGCCTTGCATCATGTTCCTACTGCTTCTCAACTTGCAGATGTCTTTACTAAGCCTTTGACAGGTCTTGTCCATCATTCATTACTGCTCAAGCTGGGGGTTCAGTCACCCTCCACCTTGAAGGGGGGTGTTGGAGTTAGGAAGTTGGACCACAATACTGTTGCTGATGCTGAGGCACACCCCACATAAAGAAGTCCATTTGTTGTTGTATTTATTTTGTATCAGCCCACTTCTTTAGTGAGGCCCATTTTTTCATTCTTTTGTAGTTAGCCCTATTTTGTATATATCAGAATTTTGGACTGCTTCTAGAAGATACAAAAGCTATTTTTCTTTTTTCAGTTTATGAAATGAAAAGCTCTCCTTCTCTCTTCTCTCGTTATTCCTTCAAAAACTTTACATAGATTTCGATCAATCCATGGAAATCAATGTTTTCACAGACCTTCTCTTCTTGCTTTTCTCCATGCTTTGAGTTTTAAATTCGTCATTTGATATTAGTCGTTCAGTTTTAATTCCTCATTTCAATGTTAGTTTTCGTGGAAAAGTAATCTTTATCCTTCTTTGCTTTCATGGTATGCGTATCAAGCTATCTGAATGAGCAGTTGATTTGATTCAAGAATATTGCATTTGAAAAGTTGGTTAATTTACCTGTTTGATAAAATGCCTGAACGAACTGTTTGATTTGATTGTGAAAATCCCGTTCCCTGTTTGCTTTTGCTGATTTTGTTGGAATTCCTTGCTGCAAAATGCCTGAATACTACATAGCTAGAGTAAGGTACTCGTGTCTAATTCATCTAAAAGTAAAATTCCATGCAATTTTGATTATGCATCCTCCATTTTTAATTGTTTAGTGTGTTGTTCTTTTATCAAGAGACAATTTGACTGTTTATCACGGTCACTAGAGTCAGACGGTAGTAGCAGGACTTGCTTTCATCTATATATACACAAAAATATAAGGGGTAAGTCATAAGAACATTAAGAATTATTAACTCATTGTTAACTATGTGGGACTAGTCTTTATAAAGCGCTGAATGCATATGATAAATGCGATGCAAGCACATGCATAATGTCACATAGACAGACATTTGAGTCATCAAATGCATAAACAACTACTCCCTCTGTTACAATTTATATGAACATATTTCTTTTTTGGTCCGTTCCAAAAAGAATGATCCCTTTCTAAATTTGGTAACAATTTAGCTTAAACTTACAATTCTACCATTAATGAGAAGCTTTTATAACCACACAAGTACTCTAGGCCCCTTTTTGACTTGTTTAGGACCGCAAATTCCAAAAGTCTTCATTTTTCCTTAAACCCAATCAAACAGGTTCACATAAATTGGAACGGTGGGAGTACAATATCGTACATCCATGAACATGGTTTGTGCCTTGTATACTTGCAATAGACCTTCCATATGGCACAAGCGAGTGCAACATTTGTACTCGTCATATCAAGTATAACATGCATAAGTGCCGGCTCGACCCCAGGCGACTAAGCGAAAAGCTTTAAGCCCCAAAAAATAGGAGGCCCCAAAATTTCCTCCTCCTTATGTTTATAAACTATACAAAATGTTTCACACTACTAGAAAACAGCCTAAAATCGTTCAGAAATACCGACCGAAATCGATTGGAAATCTAGAAAAGCCAAACAATTTTCGTTCGACTTTAATCGTCGAAAATATGTTGCTCGGTAAAAAATAGCGACTGAAGTTGGTCGCAATTTTCGACCGATTTCGGTCAGTAAATTACTTTTCAGAACGACCCAAAAAGAAAAAATCTAGCGAATAAACCGACCGAAGTCGGTCGGTACTTTAATTATGCAATTAAAAAATATATCGTCTAGGGCTCGAACCAGGGTCTGTACTGTGGCATGTTATTATTCTACCACTAGAGTATTGGTATATTTTGGTTTAAGACTTTCTTTTAATTTATTTGTACTCCTTAATTTCATTTTCGCGCGAAAATAACCAACCGATTTCGGTTGATTTTAATAAAAATATAAAATTACCGAACGAAGTCGGTCGATTTTTTAAAATAACTGACTGAAATAACTGACCGATTTCGGTCGGTTTTTTGAATATTAGTTTTAATTTATTTTATACAAAAAACTGATCAATTTCGGTCGGTTTCTTAAAAAGTAAATTTTGCAGGATTCTAGAATAGTTTCCCGCATTTTTATGCCAAAAACTCGATCGAACTCAGTCGGTTTCGTTAAAAAAATTAAAAAATAAAATATTTTGGATTTTTCGGTCGGTTGTTTGACCGACCGAAGTCGGTCGGTTGACCGCGGTCGATTTTGGCCGAATTTCTAGTAGTGTCATCTATAAATATAAAATAATTACTACTAATAGTTATGATTAATTATTAGAAATTTTTTAAATTATTAAATGGCTTACTGCCAACTTACAAATAATCATTAGTCGCATAGTTACATATTTTATGTTGTTTATTTAAATAAATGTGCTTGAGGTAAGTAAGAATAGAAGTGGTCGACAAATTAAATCTACAGTTACTTTATATTTGTTTTTACTCTAATTTGAATCACTTTTGTTTAAACCTTTAGTTATTCTTTTCCAGGATACCATAGACAGTTTCTAGTAAATTAGCTCGTGAAAAGGCTCCAAATTAGAATATAACTATTTAGCACATGATCGTTGCTTTGTTTGGAAGGCCGTGATCAAAATTATAATTAAAGAAGTCTTCTTTAAGATCAACAAAGTTCCTATAAAGATTAAGTGGACTGGTTACGTACATCATCAATTGAAAAAAAATTGCTCTATCAAGATTGATCATAAAAGAATAATTATTAACTTTGCATATGAAAAAGATAAAATATAAACTTCAAAAAGACAAGTATGAGAATTATATTAAATACGTCTAAGGCCTCATGTAAAGATTTGGCTTTAGGCCAACTACTCTATTGAGCGGCCTTGGCATAACCATCAAAATTTGAGACAACTCATGTCAAACAGTCATTTAGATTACAGGTTCATGTGAACATAGGAGTTTTTGCCAAGCTGACCGGGCCAGAATTTTTATTAAATTAAATGTAAATAAGTAAACCCGAGAAGAAATTAAGGAGATTCAATACATAGTATATATATAAAAGAATTTTTTGCCTAGCTACATAATATAATTTTTCGGCGAAAAATTGTCAATTGAGACTCCTTGAATACATGTGGCTCCGTATATATATATATATATATATATATATTATTTTATATCAATTTGAGGTAGTTATATAAACACATAAATTTCAAATACTGAATCCGTCTATGACATAGACTGGACAGAGCATCTAGCTGTGATGACCCGTTAGGTCATCTTATGTTTTAAAACCTAATTCCGTATTTCTAAGCTTTAAATGCCTCATTTTAGTCTTCCTCGATTTGTGTGTGCAGTCCGGACGTGCTTCCAAAAAATATGAAATTTATACCTTAAAATTCATTTGAGTTGACTTGAGTCAACGTTTTGAGCAAACGGACCAGATTCATGTTTTAACGGTCCCGATGGGTCCGTATCATGATTTGGGACTTGGGCGTATGCCCGGAATTGAATTCGAAAGTCCCTAGCCCGAGTTATCGGACATTGTTTAAATTTAAAAGTTAAAGGCTTAATGAATTTGAAATGTTTGACCAATGGTTGACTTTGGATATCGGGTCTGTATTTTTTGTTTCAGAACCCGGTATAGGTCCAATACCATATTTATGACTTTTCTGTCAAATTTGGTGAGAAACAGAGTTGGTTTGATGTGATTCGGACGTCCGGTTGTGAAAATAGAAGTTTCAAAGTTTTCTTAAAAATTTCAATTGATTTGGTGCTCAATTCATAGTTCTAGGTGTTATTTTGGCGATTTGATCGCCCGAGCAAGTTCGTATGATGTTTTTAGACTTGTGTGCATGTTTGCTTTGGATCCCCGAGGGCTGGGGTGAGTTTCGGATAGGCTACAGAGTTAAAATTGGACTTAGAATGTTACTGGTGTTTCAGTTCTGGTGCAGGCCTCTATTCAGTCATCGCATTTGCGACCTCTGAGGGGTTCGCATTTGCGAGCTACTGATCACATTTGCAAAGAGTAGCTAGGCCACATTGAGTTCGCATTTGCGAAGTGAGTCAGGAGGGGCCAGTGATCGCAAATGCAATCAAGTGGTCGCAATTGCGGAAGGGTCAGTATTTGCATTTGCGGACAATTCATCGCAAATGCGATGAAATCAGGGATGTGAAACCTGCGCATTTGCGATAGGTTCTTCGCGTTTGCGGGGCTCGCATTTGCGAACCCCATGTCGCGAAGATCAAACGGGACTTAGGCGGGACTTTTGGTTCATTCTTCAAATTTTCAAACTTAGAAACCCTAGAGGCGATTTTTCGAAGAACCTTTCTTCCCCAAACCATTGGTAAGTGATTCTAAGCTAGTTTTTTTCAATCTTTCACTATATTACTTTGGATTTCAACCAAAAATCTTGTATTCTCATGGTGGAAATTGGGGTTTTAGAATTAGGAATTTTTGAAAAATAGGGATTTGGACCTCAATTGAGGCCGAATTCCAAAACAAATTAGATAACTGGCTCGGGGGTGAATGAGTAATCAGGTTTTGGTCCGAATTTCGGGTTTGGACCAAGCGGGCCCGGGTGTTAACTTTTTCAATAATAACCTAAATTGAATTCTTTACAATCGTGGGTGGTTCCTAAGGCTTAATTCGAATCGTTTGGTTGGTAATTCGCTAGGTTCTATTGGTTCGAAGGCTTGTTTGAAGGGCAAAGCGGTGGTTGAGCTTTGAGTTTGGTCTTTGGAGCAAGGTAAGTGTCGTGGTTAACCTTGACTTGAGGAAATAAAACTTGTTTGTCTATTTGTTACGTGTTTAGATATTGGGTACAACGTATATGTGAGGTGACGAGTAATTATGCGTTATTTTCGGGTAAAAGAATGCGAGTGGGACTTGATCCCTCGTAATTATTGCTTTCTTTGATCATGATTATCCATGTTTAGACTAGTTTATGTTAAATTGATCATTCTTATCATGTTTACAGATTTTTGGTGATAGTTGAGTATTGATTTCAAAGTTGAGGTTGGTATTGTGGAACCAATGTTGAAGTAAGGCTTGTTCTTGTTATTCTATCTCCCTGTTGCTATTTGTTCATTGCTTTATGGTAAGGGAGAGTGTTAATGCACGAAGGGTGATGTCGTGCCATATTATG